TAAGACACTCCAAACTTCTGTACCTGGATTATTCCCAAGACAGTGGTTACTTTGAGAAGCTTAAATTATTAAACTGTTCCTAAAACAAGCACCTCTCCATGTGCACCAAGTACGTCATGCATTGATTAATGCCTGTGATTAGTCCTGTCAAATAGGACATTATGTGATTTGGATGTTGTGTGAACACCATATTATGTACAAGCAGTCCCTGGGTTACAAACAAGTTCTATTTCTATGTCTGTCTGTATGTCAGATTTGCACAGAGAACAGTTAGGTATGGTTTATATCCAATCTGTTAGTCAGACACTTGTCTTAGTACAAAAAATCATTGAAGAAGTACTTCAAGTGATGCTAAAACATATTTGATAAACAATGCTTTGATGTACCACAGAAAGAGGCATTGTATGTACTATGAACTTTTTGAAGTACATTGCTTTTTGTGGGGGTTGCAGTTAGATGTTGCCCAAATGGATGTTACCGGCATATGACGGAACTTGGTTTGCAAATGTCTCAAAATGGAGAGTAAATGTTGAGTGAAAAGTTAATCTGACAAGATTTCAGTAACATATTAAACCCAATTCTGAGGTGGAAGTGTTTTCCCTGCCAGCAACTCCTGATCATTTAGCAGATGAATACAGACTGATAAGCAACATCAACATGTTTGTCTTAGTCAGCCTTCAAGAACAGATGCTATTTTTATCTGTGCTAGGAAACTTGCCCCAGTAAGTACAGGCCAAAGGAATTTGTCTATTCAGAATATATTTACTATGTGTACTGTCAATTTTATATTTACAAACTATAAGTTATTTTTTAAATAAAATTTTTATTTACAGTAAATTATTTTAACTTTTCTTACTATTACATATTCTTATTAAGCCCGCCACTGAAAAGACATGTAAACACAGTCAATTTATTTCATGTCTACATGCCTGTTTTCTGTTCGTAAAGAGAGGATAATCTGTGTAAGTGTGTTCTAAGAATGTTTTCAGAATTGAGACAAATTATTTATATCACCATGCATATGCTGCAAATTTCCAATGGAGCAGCACATAGTAGGCGGTCAATTCTTCTGATTTCAATTGTGGGACTTCAAGAAAATTGAGGCTCTTACACCCTTTCACAGAGTCGTATTTTTAAGTTTAGTTGGAGTTCAGTTGTTTGCTTTTTCTCATTTCATTTAAAAAAGATAGAACACTGACTACTTAATGATTGCAGCTCAAGCTAGGTTTCAAAGTCACGATCTACACAGCTATATTTACTATTCAATCTCATACCATGGCATATACTGGAGACTTAATTTAGAAAAGAGACATTCTCATCACAGGAGACTAGAGCGAGGGCTACATGGTGGAGGGGACCTGGGGGAGGGTTTGTAAAACAATGAAAGCATCTTTTCTTTTACTTTTCCATAATTTTTGGACTCATGTACTTATAACTTGTTAGTCAAATTGTGTCTTCTAGGTTGCAACACCCCCATGATACATCTTCAAGGATATGAACATGTACAGCCAAGCACAATCAATAAGAGTGCATCTAAATTCCAAAATCAATCTCCATAATAGTCTATGGGTTTCCTACTGCCAAAGGGGCCCTTTAGAGTAGTGAGAGAAGATCTTCACCCTGAAACCCACAGCGTCCCTTTTCAGCAGGAAGTAGCTAAGAGAATACGCCATCCCCTTTTCCTTATGACTCAGGGTGAAGTCTCTCTCAGGGAGGAGTGATAGGGAATGGCAAAGGACACACTGACAAAGAAGATTAATCAGAACTGGCTTTGACAAGCACTGTGGCATTTGGACAAGAACAAACTGGGAGGAGGGTAGAGAGAATAGTGCAACAATGAATGAGTGGAAGCCCAAAATCTCTGTAAATGTTTATGAAAATTAATAAAATATAATTATAGGGGGAAAAAAAGAAAAAAAAAGAAAAGAGACATTCTCTGGGCATCTAGAGATAGCCACTCCCAATTTTCCACAGATTGCCAGCAAATGTAACCATGGATTCTTTTGTAGTACAGGTCTGCATGTTTTGTGCCTCATGTTCCACACTGCGTTCTCCACCCTTCAACCACCATTGGTGGATGCACAATGCATCATGCCCATCAGAAGCACAGGGCAAACAGTGAACCCAGATGGCTTATGGACTAGAAAACAACATCTGTACAATTGGAGAAAAACCTTTTTCTCCAATATTTTTTTCTGCCAGTCTTTTACAGATGAGTTTCACAATCTAATCAGTTTTCTCTAAATGGAATTTAACATCCATTCATGATCAAATGTAATCTGTTTTCTTCTTATATTGTTATTTTTATTCTTCTTTTCACTTCCCACCCCTTTCTACCCAACTTTACTCAGATGCCTCATTTACTTCCTCCCCTTGTATTTACAGATCTTTATGAAAACAGAGACAGTTCCGCATTATTGCTCACCTTTTCAGAGATCTTGACACGTGGGTATGAACAGATAAAATAAAACAGGAACTTAGGTTAATTTAATAGAAAAAATAAAATGTGGAATAACATTGATTCTGGCCAGTATCAATTACAACCATTCTACTATATTTTACAAAAAAACAACTGAACATTTTACACATGTACAGTATTTTTCAGTAAAAGTGAATTTTGTATTTAACAATGGAGCACTAATTTAAAAAAAAAGGACAAAAGAAAACAGAAGATATATAAGACTTTTGTCTCCAGGGTAGAGCATTTGTTAAGTCTCCAAAATTTATACTATCCATTACATATATCTCATTATGAATATATATATTTATACATAATATATAACATTAACTTAAACTTTGAAAGCATTATGTTCTAGTTAATAACGTTATGTAGATAAATGAGGCAATACAACACTAGTAAGCTGAACCAGTATTTCCGTGACATGAGCCTGCAGGGTCAATAGGAAATGGAATGCGTGTGGTGGACCCCAACAAATTTGACTGTCCTGAGGATTTTTAATTATCTTTCCTATCATCATAACCTTGTGTTTCAAGCATCATGGGTTGGTTCAATGAAATGGACTTCTTGGCAAGCATATCTGGTATGTGCTATCTGCTTGAACTTTCGTCAGGCTTGTGCTCATATCTGTCCATAGTACTGTGCTTCAAACTTAAGACTGTGTTCTGTGCTCAAAAGGAACTCGAATTCCTCCTGCTAGAAGGGCCAGTGGTGTTATAAAGAGGAAAATTGAGCCATAAAATCAATTGCTAATCTGTTAACTTACAAACTGTGTGACTCACAACCACTGCAATGATAATAAGAGGGTCACGCAAAAGAACTCACTCATTACCGTCGAGTCAGAATCGACTCATGGTTGACCCTCCAGTGATTTTTTTAGAGACTGCAATTCACATAGGCGGAGAATGTCTATCTTTCTTCCATGGAGCAGCTGGTGGACTCAAATTGTTCGCCTTTGTGCTAGCACAACTCCTTACACACTAGGCCACCAAGGCTCTGCTAGAGGGTCATCTTGGGTGGAGGAGAGTTAATTCTGTGTCTGGGAATGACTTTTCAAGATGGGCTTCTGACTAGCTTGCTGCTTAGATGGGCACCTTAGCATCCAATTCCCCGCATCATTTCTTCCCTCAGCAATGACACTTTGGAAGTAAAGATCTAGGAAGCATAAAGCTCCCCAAGATGGCTTGTCAACCTGAAAGCAAATGAGTCCATTAATGGAACTTTGATATGAAAAAATAAATGTGATATAGACCTCTCAGCAGAGTAGTTCAGAAGTGGCAGGGCTCTACCAGGCTTGCTCATTTCCAACTATGGACTCAAAACTACTTTTACACAATTGGAGTCACAGAAAAACCAGTGAAGATATTTCAAAGACAACAACATTCAGTGGACAAGTGTATCAGAGCACGGGCATAAGAGGGACAGAGTAGTGGAAAAACAACAGATTCACAAGGGTACAATCATGCTGCCCAGATTCTATTTCCAGTTTAATTTTCTTAAGTTGACAAGATGAAAAAAAGGTATACTAAGCACCATTGAAAACGCTGCCCAGACAAATGGGGCCCAGGCTTAAATATTATTTAAATAAATTCTATTTATTAAAAAATACAGGACCTTTTAGAAACTTCTGACTGCAGGAAGAAATTACCTGCATCATATCCAAAATGCTTCCCACCACCACAAATGGGATTTTTTTATGGCCTTTAAAAAAATGCTATGGGGATAATGGCTAGATAGCACCAAGAGCTTGTGCAGGGTCCATAAAGTTAACACTCTGGATTTCAGGGATGTGGGATACTCTCTTACATCGTGATGAATTCTACATGTCACCAATTGGACTGCGCAGAGCAATCTCATCTGACTAGCTGTGTGTAAAAGAATGCAACCTGCAATGGAAAAGCCAGTAGCAGCAAGTCTATCTGATGTGACCAGTGGAGCAGACTTACCAAGTGAGAATCATACAAACACCAGTACACAACACATGAAGTAAATCAGGGGTGGGAAGTACCAAAGCTCAACAGAGAAATATGAACACAAATGACACTGAACAGAACTCTATGGGATGTCCTTCATGCCCCCCAGGTCCAGTTTCCTGACGCCTCTCTCAAGGGTGGACACAAGCATGAAAAATGACTGGTGTAAGAGCTTTCCCTTTCATTTTGATCTCTGTATGCTCTTGTGATGTTTTTGAAAGATATTTTTAGGTGTCTCAAAGGGGAAACAAGCAAGTAAATGCAAAAAGGGAGGGGCAAAAAAAGACTTTCAAACCAGGGCAGGAAATCAAATCATTACTTTAACGTCAAATTTTGGCATCAAATGCTTTGGTCATACAATACTGTCTCTGTGGTTCTGGCTGTTTAGTGTTAAACACCCAGTTATAAAAGGTAGGCTTGTTGTAGATTTATTTTTTTTTCTTTCCATTTAAGTTCTAACAAAACAGTTCACCATCTCCCTGCACAAACTGGAGAGAGAGAGAAAGAGAGAGAGGAGAGAAAAAGAGAGCAAAAAAGAGAGGTGGCTTGTTTTTTTGTTTTTTTTTTGCTTGGTTTTTTTTTTTCCTTTTTAATAATAATATGGAGTAATCTATAAGTCTACAGGAACAGGGAATTCTGGGATGGCTGCTCAGCCTTGGAATGTACATGTTTTGCAGCAAAGTTGTTGGAGAACCTTCCGCTGGCACAGATTGTTCTTTTTCACTAGCATACAGAAGCCTCCTTCGGCCCAGGACTCTTCCGTTGCTTTTCCAGGAGGTCAGCAAGAAAGGGAGGAAGTTGAACAGCATGATGTGCACACACGGAAGAAGGTTTTGATTGGTCAGACAGGCAGAGGTTGGAAGAGATCATTCAGGAGCAGTCAACAAGGAAGAAATTTGGTCCACCCAAAGTGATTTCAGTCAACAGCATTGTTTTTCAAGGAGAGATATTGTAGTCCAACAGGAAATGTGATTGGAATCCATTTACGAAGGGGGGAAAAAAGATTAGAAAAAGAATAAATTAGACATCAACAATAGTATAAGCAAGACCTTTTTTTCTTTAGAATCACCTGCAGCAAGGATTTTCCTTTTATATTAGAGAAAATAGCATGCTGTTTTGTTTCTCTGTTTATAGGAGAACTCTTCCTTTGGATAGTCAACCATATTTTAAATTTGGAAACTATTCTCAATTACAGTTGAGTTCAGCACATTGTATTATGCTGTAATTACGTGCCTGTCTTGTTACCCAAGCAGCACAATGACTAGGCCTCCTATTGACGCAATGACAACCATGTTATCTCAACATTCTCTAGTCAAAAGCAGTTGAGAAATGGTACAAGTTCTAGAAACGTATTTGACTTAAAAGATACTAAAATTTGTAATAAAAAGTGTATACTCTCATATCAGTGAGATATGACAGTTGAGAGTGAACAATAAGTACATCCTTCAATGTGATAGCCATGTGCTGTGAAAAGTTTGGTAAGCCAATATGAATGTCATTCTTTAGGAAATCTGAAAAGGACCCCCTACAAATTATGGTTCTTCATTTTCTACTTTGCCTACAGTCTTGACACTCTTCTCACCAAAGTACTGTGGTATTTGGCATACCTGGCATAACATTATTTGGTATAACGTCTCCCGTGCTTACCATAATTTGGGGAAAACAGTAAAAGCATCACAAACCTTGAAATGCCCAAGACAATGGCTATGGGTGACATTTTTGAGTTACACTGGCTTTCTTGGCTCAGTCACTTTAAAAACAGGTAGCCAACTAAAGAAAATTCTGGTCAGATTCAAAAATAGGTAAACCATGTTTTAAATTAAGGGTAAAGAGATACTTGCTGAACCTAGAAGTGACACTTACACGGGCCCCAGGGGCACATCCATTTCTCTCACTTCATTAGCTACAGCTAGGTCTGACCCTGGCCAAGGAAACCTCACATGTGCAGCACCCAAGTGACTCTACTCAATCCTCCCTGACCAACTGCCTACCAGGAAAGCAAAGATGATGAAACGTCGCCTAGCAAGGCCACAGATAATGTCCACGGGCCCACTGTTAGGCTGCCTTTTTGAGATTCCCAGTATGGAGTTGCAGAAGAACTGCTGATATCCTTTCTCCCATTTAGACCTAAGGAAGTTGATAACTTGGCCAAGGTGTGGAGCCTAGACATGACTCCTGAATCTAATCAGAGCACTGTCTGTCCCCTGCTCGAGTCCAGAGAAGGACAGTCAGGTAAGGGGAAGAATGCTTCCTTTCTTTTCTATTCTCCTATTTTTGTTAGTATCCAAAGGCATTTTAGAACAACTGTGGCTCAAAATAATTTTTTTTTACACCCTTGAGAGGCACTGTTTGCATAAAATTTAATCACCAGTGTGGGCTCCCTTCAGCCATGAATTACACATGTCAGGAGTCAAAGTTCACAAAAATGTTGGAGTTGAAGCTCCAATTTAAATATTAAATACACTCCTTTTACAGATGGGTAAGATGGGGCAAGAAATGAGATAACTTATCATTTGCAAAGTTGTTAGGGAGGTGGGGTGGCAGTGCAGTTCCCAAAGCTGACTGTATCTTAAAAATACTTGTGCAGCTTCAAAAATGTCCATGCTCAGGCTGCACCACTGACCATTCAATCGGCATCTTTAGGGGAGCCTCAAGCATCATGGCTGTGAACCATGCAAGGAAAGAAAGTCCACAATGGAGAAGTTTGAAGGTCCATACATGATATTCACTTCCTAGATATACTTCGAGTTTTTCCTTCTATGAGATTGGAATATTAATTCCTTGATTCACAGGTTTAATAACAACATTTTCAGACATCATTTGATCATTATCTACTTTGCCATCCAGTCTGTAATTGAACAGACAGTGAGGACAAGTGTAGGCACTTTATGAAGAGAAAAATCAATGTTTTATGATTTCATTTTCATCAAAGCTAGGTCACTGCAGAGGAAGACACATCTATTCCATCATGTCAATGTTTTAACTGTTGAAGACTTGTGAACCATAATTGAAACTACTAAAAATCATGTATTAAAAATTCTCAAGAATTTTCCAAATGAATGAAGCTTTATGAACAAAGATGTTCTCAGTCATGTCATTTACAAATCAAATTATGAAACAATCCAAACAATTATTATGCTGTTATTAAAAATGGAGTTTCTTAAAACTTTGTTATGCTCATATCTAATGTTTGTTGCAAAAAATCAGCATACAGACCACAATGCTCAGGTATTTAAGAAAGAAATACATATGCTATTGTTGTTACATACCACCAAGTCAGAACTGACTCAAAGCTGACCCTCTAGTGGGTTTTCAGAGGCAGTGAACCATAAGAGAGGAGAATGCCCATCTTTCTCCCATTGAGTAGCTGGTGAATTTGAACCATGTGTCTTGGGGCACGTCTATGTATGTATCTACGTATCTATCCATCCATGTGATTTCTTTAGTTCTTTTAAGAAACAAAAAAATATTACTGAGGTCATAAGTTCAAGATAAATGAATGACAGCAAGATACTGGCATGTCCTCACTGCCACATGCTTGATGCTTGCTTTAAGTGGAAATACCATAGATCTCAAATAGAACACATTTTAAGAGAACCCCCTGAGCAGCTGTACTCACCGTCCTTGCAGATGGCTCCCAGCTGACACACTCCTAAGTCTAAGAGATACCCACTGGGGCAGCTGGTACAGTTCTTGAAACCTGGACCACTGCAGGTCAAGCAGCTGGCGTCACATCTACGGGAACAATGCACAGGTGAGTGGCCTTCCCCTCAGCAAGCACAGCAGGCTGTTCACTATCTATGTTTTGACGACTTATACCTAACTCTCCATTTGATGCTAACACAGAAATCTCTTGTGACTTTAATCTCTAGGTTTGACAACACTGAAGAAAACTCACCAGGAAGAAATAGTGATTTAAAGGAGATATGCTGCTGTTGTTGTTAGGTCCCCTTGACTTGAACACCAAATCGGACCCTTGTCCTGTCCTGTACCATCGTAACACTCTAAGACACACACAATACCATTGTTAAAGTCACTATATTAATCCATCTTGTTGAGGGTCTACCGATCCCAGCATGACACCTCCCTTCAGGGACGGGTTCCTCTGGAAAATGTGCCCAAAGTAAATGAGGAAGTTATGTCATCCTTGTCTTTAAGAAGCACTCTGTATTTCCTTCAAGTCAGATTTGTTTGCTCTTTTGGCCATCCATGGTGTAGTCAATACTCTTCACCAACATAAAAATTCAAAGGCACAGACTCTTCTTTGGTCTTCTTTATTCATTGTCCATCTTTTAGATCCAACTTTTAAGGAAGCGACTGAAATACCATGGCCTGGATCAGGCTCACCATCCCAAATGGGATATGCTGTTGCTGTGTACTGTCCAGTTGGAACCAACCCATAGCTGACCCTCTAGTGGGTTTTCAGAGGCAGTTAATCACATGGTAGGAGACTGCCTATCCTTCTCCTGCAGAGCAGCTGGTGGCCTTGAATCACGTGCCTTTGGGATTACAGCACTAGGTTCTTTTTTTTTTTTTAAATTTTGTGTACGTGTACCGTCAAATCAGATCTGACTGGTACAGGAGGATATTGCGCCTCCTTCTCCGGCAGAGCGTCTGGTGGATTCGAACCGTGTTCCTCTGGGATTGCAGTTCAGTTTCTTGCCACTAGGCCACCAGAGCTCCCCGCAGCACTAGGTTCTTGACACTAGGCCACCAGAGCTCCAAAAGGGATATAGCAAGCACTTAAAATAGAAATATTATTGCAAAGGTTTTTATAAATGCACTTGAAGCAACAAAAAATATCAAAGAGAAATTGGGCTAAATACATAGGCAAGTATCCATTTTTAACTGTCTTCACCTTATTTTATCATTTAAAATGAAAAATCGTTCCAGTTAGGTAGATCCACAAAAAGTTAAACATAAAATTCTGAACAGGTGTATCCTTCTCTCTTTCACTGCCTTTGACTTGGAACTGAGTCAGAGCTGATCCACCGGCAGGTTTCAGAGGCTTTAAGTCGGTGGGAGGAGACTGCTCCTCTTTCTTATGTTTCTGGTTGATTCAAGGCACCTGTTCTTGGGTTGGAACCCATGAGGCCACCAGAGCTCCCCAACATATACATCTATGGCAAGAATCAGTGCAATGCTATTCACAACAGTTAAAAGGTGGAAACAACCTAAACATTCACAACTGCTGAATGAATTAAAAAAGTTCTTTAGACAATGGGATATTACCCTGCATAAAGAGAAACTAATATGATAAGGACAGACCTTGGATATACTGGCTGAGTGAAGTAAGTTAGCTATAAAAGGACCAATCTTATGTGATCCTACTTATACAGAATATTTAGGACAGACAATTATATAGAAATTAAAGTTTATTAGTCAATCTCTAGGGCAAGAAGAAGGAGAAATCACTGTTTAGGAAGCACGAAGGGATGATGGTTTTGGAAAACTGGATAAAGGTAATAGTGGCACAATATGATTCACAATCATAATGACAACAACATCTTACTATATTGGTTATTTTTTATTTAAGCCTCTTGTTTAGTCAACAAGAACTCGGGAAGGGCCTTTGTATTTAAAAGTTGGTTATTTTATTTTGGAGGAACATTCTTTAAAGTGGTACAGCACTCTTCTGTCAATATGCTGTACTGAGGTAACCTGGGGTTGCTGTGATGCTGAACCTTGTGCCATGGGGGTGTCAAATGGCATAACGGTTACCCATGGTGGACAGTGTTTGGTGGAGCTCCCGGGTTAAAACAGGTTTGGAGCAGGAGTGGCACCCACTTCCAAAACAACATACCTCCGGAAACTCTATGAACTTTGAGAAATGATGATAGTTATAGAAAGGCTTCAGGTCTTTTGTTCATAGGGTCACTGTGAGTCATGCTTGATTCAACAGCAATCAACAACAACAACATCACTGAACTGTATATGTAAAAAATTTGAATTAACAATTGTACTACATGCATTTTAACACTTCAAAAATTCCAAGTTTTCATATAATTTATAAAGACAACCATATAAGAACCCAGTAATCAAGTGCCTAACTAACAGGCCTTCAGAAACTCTATAATTTGGTAAATGTCGATAGTTGTTGTAGAAGGGCTTAAAGCCTTTGGTTATAGGGTTGCTATGAGTCGTGTTTGACTCGAAGGTAATCAACACCACCACCAATCAAGTGCCAGGACTGTGAGTGACGATGCACTTACTTTTTACAGGATTTATATCCATTCTCTGAAGAGTGGTCAAAGTAGTAGCTGATGCTGCAACTCTGCACACATCTTCCATCCTCCATGAAGTAGCCCTCAGTGCAGTTAATGCACCCATCAGCTCCTGCCCCTGCAAAGCAACAGAAAGCACGAAACGGGGAAAGAAGCTCAACAGAGGTTACACAGTGTGTGGCTGTGAAGACAGCAATACTGTATTAGGATTTTAACAGTTGTCATTTAATATCTGTATTTCTTCTGGGTGAAATCATCAAAATAAAAACACTCAAAGTAAAGTCAGAGTTAGTAAAAGATGTCAACTTCACCCCCATATATAAAATCTCTGGAAAAAGAGTATTATCGCTGAGATAGATGGTCAAGTTTCCCACCAAGAGGGGTGATTAACTCTCAGTGAGGATACATGTGTATGAGGACAGAGAGAAAAAAAGCGTTTCAGAGATTTGTAGGATGCTCCAACATTTAACCTAAAAATGTTAAGCGAGTTGCTTAAATGGAAGCAAAACTCGAGCCAGAGAATAAAGTGCACACTGAGGGGGAGAAGCATGTGTGTTACCAGCACAGGTGGCGCAGAAACGGTGGCAGGGCTGGCAGTCCTGGCCGTCAAAGTACCATCCATCTTCACAGGAGACCGAGCACTGGGACCCCTGCAAGCTGGGAGAAGCAGAAAGCAGGATGTACACACAAGGCTGCCATCCAGGCAAAGAGCTAACCACTCCCCAGGCTCCATGCGTGGTAGACAGCCTTCCCCTCACAGACCTGGGGGCTCAGCAGAGCTGCAACCCTCTCTAGTGCCTATCACGGATTTCTGCCTGTTTTGACACCCGGAGCATGAACGCTGTTGGGAGGCTCTGCAGATGCTCTTTATATTTTTAGATTGGCTGACACATCTCCAATTTGGTCAATCTCTTTGAACCTTGTGGCTTTTACAACAGGATTTGACGGGGTTGTGTTTGGTTGGTTGGTTGGTTTTTGTTTGGTTTGTTTTTTTTTTTACAAAGCAATGGCATTACCTAACAATACGGAGTATGGAGAAAGACAAAGGACTGTGACGTTCACTGTTCACTATGCACTGTACCTCAACAAAAACAACAAGAACAAGCAAAAAAGTTTATTAAACAAGTGCTCCTAGTTGTACCAGCAAGCAACATTATGATAAATGAAAAGATAGCAGGTCTTGACTTGGATTCAATATCAATGCCCTTGGAAGCAGCGGTCAAGAAAGCAGATGTATTGCTGTTGTGGTCAGGTGTTATCAAGTCACCTACGACTTATGGTGACTAATGACCAACAGATCAAAACTTGCTCTATCCTGCACCATCAGAACTTCACTCTCCATCATGCTCAAGCCCACAGCTGCAGCCATTATGTCAATCCATTCCCTAACATGTGCCTTTTTTCCAGCGACTGCCCCTCCTGAAAACATGCCCAACTGTGGCAGACAAATTTTCTCTATTCCGGTCTCTAAAACAATCAAGCACTTACTATGGGCCTATCTGCTGCAAGACTCCTTTAAAGTATCCCTAAGTGAGCCATTACTGAGGACTCAGGTATGCCTGATCAACCACTGTATATTCAGTAACCTCACATGCATGCAAAAGTTGGATAATGAAGAAGGAAGACTAAAGAAGTGGGTGCCTCTGAGTTGCGGTGTTGGAGAAGAAGATTTAATGCACCTGTGGACTGTCAGAAGCATGAACAAATCTGTCTTATAAAAAGCATCACCAGAATACTCCTGAGGACAGGAGGATGGTGAGGGTCTCTCAGGTGATTCACGTCTGGGCATGCTCGCAGGAGGGACCAGTCCCTGGAGAAGGGCATATGTTCAATAATGGAGACACTTAGTGTAAAAGGAGGCTCCTCAGTGAGATGGACACTGGTGTGGCAACAAGCAGAGCAGCAATGCGAGCGTGGGGCCGGAGCAGGCAGCGTTCTGCTCTGCTGTACACTCGGCGGCTCTACGCTCAACTGACTCAAGAGCCCCTGCCAGCAACTGCTTCCACTTAATTACTTTTGTTTTTGTGTAATGACAAATGCAATTGCAATAGGTGGTAAGAGGAATTATCACAAAATTAAAGTCTTCATACTTCCTTGCTGAATCATCTGCTCTATATTCTCAGGTTTTGGAAATTCTTTGTCTTTTGGGTCGCAAGCGACTCAACGACACATAACAACAACAACAACAACCTTATCCATCGGCTGCCTTCTAAAACAAAGCGACTCTTTTGCCTATATAATTTATTAATGTTAACAATTCTAATGGGGACTTTAGTCAAATTGCCTATTTATCTGCTAATTCTTAAAGCATCTCACCTTTTGTTGGCTACATCATACTGTTTTTCTAATTGCTAGTAATAATACTAAGAAAACAGCAGATTACCTTTCTAGCACTGAGAGATGCTGTCTAATGCGTTCTAACGAGTTACTAGAATGTTAACTGAGGGATGTATCATTTGTTTCTCCTGATTTCTGTCAGCTATGATTTTTTTATTTCATGTCCAAGTTAAAATAAAAATAAGAGAGATTTATAATGTTTGTAAATAAAAATGAAAACTCAACAGAATTTATAATTGATAAATATTATTGATTGAATAACCAAACAATGTAACTAGAATTACAGAAGAAATGTAATCCTATGTCACCAAAATTGTGATACTTGACTATATGTATTTAATTGATAAGTAAAATGATTTCTGCCCTCTTAAACTGTCTATATTGTTCCAACGTTTATCTGACTTTGCTTCCTCTATGGATATTCATTTTAAAAAGTAAAATGTCTTTTCCCTCATGCTCATTAAAGAAATTTGCAAAGTACAAATATAAGCCAGATAGGAAAAACTTGTTAAGAGTTCAATGCATTTTCTTCCAGTATTTTAGGTATAGAGTTTTGTTTTATCCTTGCTTCTTCTTAGCCACTATTTAAAAATTTACTAGTCTCTAGAGAAAGATGGTCAACCCAAGAAGTCCACAGAAAAATGCAAGGGGCCTCAAAGAGACTAGACAACAAAACTGAAATGCAACTTTATTCCTGCTCTTCTGACAGAGACGGTGTTTAAAATGCCGGGAAAGGAAGGTGCCCCTCCTTGTAGAACTAGAAAGAAGACATTTCATCAAATGACATTTTTTTTTTTTTGTGGGAGGAATAGATTCCTGGAAAACTTATCAGGGCTTTGAAAAAGTGGCCTAATTTCTAACAAAGGACAGTACTTCTGAGGTTGGCACGTGTTCAGCAGGACACAGGGGCTGCCTGTTATGAGTAAAGGATGACCAAGTGTATGCTGTGTGACCCAGAGCAAGTACTACGAACCTGGCCATTTCTGCTGTATCCACAATACCTGTATTAGAAGACCAGCAGTCCTGACCTGGTAACACCCAGTGGAATGTCTGGAGTTTTTCTTTAAGAAAGCAATCTCTATGTTCTATTCTGTTGAACATGGAAGCCTCTATCTACCAATGTGGTGACTGAGTATTTGTAATGTGGCTTATGAGACCAAATAATGGATATTTAAATTTTACTTCATTTTGACTAATTTAGTCTAAATTGACAATTGGTACTTGATTCAATTACTGGAAAAACGTGAGTCAGTTTGGAACAACTTGGCCACATATTTTTTTGAAGTACATTTTATGAAATCTAAGTACAGATTAAATATTTCTTAGAAAAATTATGGTCTTAGTTAAGATACCAAAGAGTGAATGTACAGATATTTCACTAATATTTTTATAATGATTATATGTTGCAATAATAGTTCTTTCATTTGCCTATACATCTTTTGTTGTATAATAATTTAATTAGAAATTTATTTATTTATGCAATTATAATAATTTGGATATATGTGGGTAAATATTTTACTATAATACATTTTACCTGTAAATGTAGCTTATTCTAATTTTTTATATTGAGTACATGCTGAAATAACCTTTTTTATATATTTGGTAAATAAAATATTATTAAAACGTATTTCACTTGTTTCTGTATTTCTTTTCCTATGCATACTAGAATGTTTAAAATTAAATAAGTGACTCTCATCACTGATATTAGAGAATTCTGATCAAACTTATTATATAAGAAAAATAAATCTTAAAGAAGTTTTTAGATTATTTCTTATGGAACAATCATGCATCAGGGTACTTTCTTTGAATGTTGTCATGTTTAATCCTTACCATAATTAAGCAGAGTAGGGTTATTATCTACATTTTACAAAAGATAAAACTGAGTGGTTAAGTGGCTTGCCCAACTCACACAGTGTCTGAGTGGGATTCAAACAGCAGGGGGATGTGTACGTTCCATCTTTTTCATTATTATCTATCAGGTCCTTCTCTAAGAAGAATGAAGAGTCTGAATTAATAAAGAACTAGCAAAAGTACAGTTCTTGAGATAAAGATGTTAAGAAAGCAACAATGAATGTACTTTGGGGAGAATAAAAAAGAGAAAGAAAGAAAGCCACAAATCAGGATAATAAAAAAGATTTAAAAAAATGATGTTCTGGTATTGATCATACTCAAGATGTCTAAATAAGGTGGCCCATTCTCTGAGGAATACTCAACTCATTGGCATCATGTTGGCACTGACTCCCTGCTGAGCCTTCAGCAGGTTTTCTGAGGCCACAGATCACATGGGAGGGGACTGCCCATCTTTCTCACAGGAAGCCACTGGTGGATTTGAAGCCACCTTTGGGTTAGCACTGCACCTCCCCCAGGACTACCTGCCTGGAACTGTCTAAGCTGTCAGTCCTCTGTCTCCTGGTGGCCTCAGGTGTGTCACAGTATAACTGTGTTCCCTAAGGTTTTCCAAATCTAGATCACCAGGCACCTGTGCGTGGAATCAAAACACATTCTCCTGTTAGTGGTGGGAGGTGTTAACCACTTGTACCACTCCAATGCTCGTAACTGCCTCCACCTTGCCTATTTTACCTTTAATCAAGGGGAAAGGAAAGATACTATCAGTGCTCAAAAGAACCCAGTACAACTGAATCCAAACTCTATAAATTCAGCAGGCAGTTCTGGTGGCTTAATGGTAAGGTGTTATGTTGCCAACCCAAAGGTACTTGGTTCAAATCTACCAGTTCCTCGGAGAGAGAAAGATAAGCAATCTCTTGTGTGATTTATTCCTCTGAAAACCAGAAGTGTCAACTATGTATCAGTTCCATCTAGATGGTACATAACAACAACAACATGTAAATGCAGAGCTTCCAGTTCCTCCTTCCACCTACGCCAAGCTTTGACTTTCTCTCCTGAGATCAATGGGATGCCTTGTACTTTGGAGCTGCGTGCTGCTTGTACAGATTCTGCCAACTATCGCCCTTTTGCAATAAGCAAGCCATCCATTCAAGGCAAACATTCCCTGGTGTTAAATCTATGTGCATACCATAGCATAATGGAACCAAGCCTGAAGTACTTAAGATAAGAAAATGATGGGCTATATGGAGGAACATAATAAAGATAAGGGACTAGTTTCCGGCCATCAAAGGAATAAATCAGGAGGATTAAATATAATTCACTGGCATTATCTGCATAGCAGCCTTTGACTGGCACACTGCAGGTCAAAAGAATGAAGATGGGCTTCAAAGGGTCATTTTTATTTACCTGTATCTGAGCAATCTTTTCTAAAAGAGAATTTTATTTAGTTTATAAACCTTCCTTAGGCAAGATGGCATCCAATCTGTCACATAAAATGGTAAAGAGAATACAAATAGCAATCAAGTGTCCGAGTGGGATTCAAACCAAAGGGATATCATAAGCGGGTTATTTATTTACAGCTTTAGGTTCCCTCCCTCCTTTATTTATATTGAGAAGCCCCGGGGGCGGCTGTGTGAAATGATACACTTTTCCGCTCTCTTACCTTAACCCGTCTCTACATTCTGTACAGTTCTGGTACTCAGTACAAGTCTTGCAATTCTCACTGCATTTCCGGCAAAGATTCTTTTCTATTAAAAAAATAAAAGTGACAAAGTTATAATCAAGTGGATTCCATAAAAGCAAATGGAGAAGTTTTTATGTTTGCTACAGTATCCATGCCCTTAAGTGTAAAGTTGCAAGAAAAACCCCAGCCTTATTATTTGTTATTGGTTCTCAGCAAAGCAAATACACTCAGGAGTCAAGACCTACTAGGAAGCATCATGCGGATCATTTAGGATTTTAAAGTCAAGATAAGTATGATCTAGTCAATTCCTAGTTGAGATTATACTCCGTTGCACTCTCTTCCTCTCTCTCTCAAAGTTTTCTGACTTCTGTCAATGAAAATTCCCTATGGGAGGATTAAGAAGCAATATGAGGTCATACCTGATCCAAGTAAGGTATTATCAATTGTTTCTGATGCATTTAAAAGTTAAGCAATGAACAAATAAGGAAACTCCAAAGAATTGATACCTTAGAATTGCAGCGCTGGCAGATTGTTTTTGAATATACCATGGACTGCCAAAAGAACAAATAAATCTGTCTTGGAAGTAAGTGTGACTAAGGGTGCTCCTTAGAGGCAAACACGATGAAACCGCATCTCATCTACTTTGGGCATGTTGGTAAGTGGGGGCCAATCCTTGGAAAAAGACAACATGTTGGGAAAGGAAGAGATGCAGTGAAAGAGAGGAAGATCTTCAACAAGATGGATCGACACAGTGACTGTACAATAGATAAGAGTATGTGAGGGATCATGAGGACAGTACAAGACTTTGTACAGTATAAGATTTTGATCTACAGTCCCTGGGGTTGCTGTGAGTATTGGTCCACTGAATCGGCACCTAACAATAACAACAAGAAGTTGTTTCTAGGACTGCTCTGATGAAATCTAGGACTGTAATAAAGTGTCACTTACTTATTTCTTGCACATCCTCAAACAGCCACACAAGCTGCTATGAAGTTGATACAAATGTTACTTTATTTAGAGGAGCTCTGGTGGTGTAGTGGGTGAGAAGATATGCTACCAACTCAAAGGCATATGGTTCAAATCCACCATGGGAGAAAGACTGGCAATCTCCTATTGGCAATTTTTTGGCCCCTAAAAGCCCATTAGTGTATCAATTTTGAGTTCTGATTTGACTGCAATGAATTGAGTTTTATATTTCAGCTAACATTTGCAATCTGGAGAGCAGAAATGCATTTTATTGAACTAAGAGATTTTGGATATTGGCTTTCTTATTTAATACAAACCGAGGTCCACATTGGGGAAAAGAAATGGCAAAGTAATGATTTATTATCTTGCTTATTATTTTATCTGGAATGAAGGGCTTTCTAGTATTTTAACTAATGGTCTAGTATTTTAACTAATGGTTACCACTGATTCACCTCCGACCAACGACAATCTCATTTGTGTCAGGATGGAAGTGGGTTTCTAGCCCCTTCTTTCAGGAATTTCTGTGTAGAACTGAAGCTACCTTTCGGGTCAGGCAAGCACATTAACCATTTGCTCCATCCAGAGAATATTCAAGCACATTAACCATTTGCTCCATCCAGAGAATATTCAGTATGTTACACTACATTTTTGTCCCAGGTAAAATGTCCCTGGCGACTTGCTACCTGCTCTGAAATGTAAGTGGATAATATCCACACATTTAAATAGGACTGAATGAAGTTTTGTTATCTTCCTCTAAGTGCTTGATTTGCTTTGTTGTTTCAGAGACAAACCATGCTTTAATGGATCCCTGTAAACACCTAGAATAATCAGTGCCCTTGCCCTTGAACGGTAGTGACGATAAAGAGTACTGAATATACCACGGACTGACAAAAGAACAAATAAATCTGTCTTGTCAGATGTGCAACCTGGTCTTCCTTACAGGCAAGGGCAGTGAAATATTATCTTATTTACTTGGGGCATGTTGTCAGGAGGGGCTAGTCCTTGGGAAAAGGACTATGCTAGGAAAGGTGAATGAGAGGAAGAGCCTTGGTTAGATGGACGGACAAAGTGATCATAACGACAGGCTGGAGCCTGACAGACATTGTGAGAACGGTGCTGTTCAGAGGGTCGCTAAAAGTCACAGTCAACACGATGGCATCCGACAAGCTTTATATAAAGACACAGTGGATTGAGTCTGAGTGCCTCAGCAAGAAACACTAAGTCCTTTATAAATCTGCCTGTAGTTACCACACAGTCTTTTTCACTGTATTATCATTAAGAATCCTGCATCGTGCATGAAGGCAGAAGTCCTAGATTTACACTCTTCTTTCATTACTTCCAATAGGCAAGTTCAGGGTCTCTATTCTCTTTCTTGTTAAATGGTGATTACAATGATGCTTGTCTTGTGGGTTTAATGAAATTAGACAAGGCAATTGTATCAACTATAAAGTCATGAACTCATGTTAGTAGTAATTGTGACTAGTCATGATCATACGTGAGCCCCACTTTGGACGTAAACAAACTTATTCAAGTATGAAATTATAACACAAGACAATTACATAAAAAGAAAGAGATACACAGACCACTTGAATCAACACTATATAGTAGCTGAAGTAATTACTTGAACAGCCTTCCTTAATTACCCACCTCCCAGGCTCTGGAAAAAGAACTGACTCTCTCAATTATCTTGATCCTCCTACACAACATTCCAGAAACATACTTCATTACCAAGCCTCAGATTCTTGATAGCATTTTGATTCCCTCACTTCCAAGGAAGAGTTCCTATCTCTGTTGATTCCTAACCACTCCTCCCACTTCTCACATAATGTTCTACTTTCTCCATTAAGTTGTAGATCATGCCTCAAATCTGGGGCTAAAAAACACAGATGACTCCCTGGCCACTGTCTGGAAAAAGGGCATGCTGATTGATGCTATCTGTCTCATAGGGAAATGCCTATGCCTTTGGATTGGTAAAGAGGCAAAATCATTCATACTGGCAATATGATTTATGCTGAATATCTGCTTTCCTTCTGGGAGTCTGGAATTTTGGTACATGACAGACAGCAAGGCTACCAGATCAATTACTGATGAAAATCCTGGCTGCTGAGATGCTAATGAGCTTCCTGGTAAGTGGCATTTTACCATATTGTCACAAATTATTCCTGGGGGCATCAGGCAAATCTCACGTGATGCTACTGGGAGCTGACTTTAGAAGGTTAAGTACCCAGTTTCTTCCAGACTTCCCCCAAGCGCTGTTCTTTTGCAATTTCCCCTATAAAATATCCCAGCCATGAGTAAGGCTGTGTTGAGTCTTTTGAGTCTTGCTAGCAAATCAATGGTTGAGCCTATATATAAGGTGATTTGAGGATGCCTGGACCCAGTTAGCTGCAAGCTTTTTACAAAAAGCTTCTAAGGGGTTCTCTTAAAAATAACAAATGGCTAGATCTTGGTTTGATATCAAGCAAAGCCTAGGATCACAGAGGAAGAACACCATCCGTAGCCACTCACTTCAAGGCAAAGCCCAGATTTCCTCTCCCATACACAAGTATCAGAGGCCCACTCACTGGGATCCTGGTAGAAGCCCTCGGGGCAGTGAGCAGCACAGCTGTTGGTTTCCTCACTTAGGAAATAGCCGTATTTGCAGGACAGGCATTGGTCGCCGTGACCCCCAAAGCAGGTCTCACAGTTGGGGGCGCACTTCCTGCATCTTTTCTTGTCCGCGTGGTAGTGGCCAGGTGGGCAGCTGGAGACACAGATCCTGCAAGGACAAGGAAGGAACAAGGCAGAAGGGTCATGTCACCAGCGACTCAGTGCACAGAATCCTCTCAGTCGTGCACATACAGCTGTCTTCAGCCTCAAATGCCCGCTTCACTCATGCTGCTGACATTCACGTAAAGGGCCACTTTTGGTTTGATAAAGGATTCCATTTTCAGGGTGTATGATGAAGGAATATTGCAGTTAAACACCACCAGGTTCCCCCAACTAAGGCACCCCTGGTCCCAGCCATGTTGCGTCCTTCTTACCTGGTGTTGTTCTTCAGCTTGTAGTAGTAGTGTAAGCAGTCATTGCAGTGGTCCGGTCCAGGCCCATCACAGCCAACCTCACTGCACTCGGGGTCACAGGGACCTTTCCAAAACAGAGCACAATGACACCTCACAAAATGACAACTGAGGCAGCTCTCCCTGGAACTGGAGAGAAAACTTGCTCTCACCTTGCAAAACTTGCAAAAGACTCTTAGGTGGTCAAAGATCTTTAAGATGGAAGAATGATGGTCAGTGTGGTTAGAAGCCTAGAGATAAACAATGACTGTTCTTTTGGAAAAATCACAGTTGCCTAAGTATCAATGATGTAAGTCCTAGTCTCCAAACACATGTGAGCGTCTTGGGGGAGACAAGAATTTCCAAAGTCAAATGAATGCTGCCATTGCAGCAACTGGGACAAACCCATCACAGCCAGAGAAGATTCAATTAAATATGAATAACGAGAAAAATGCCAGATTTATGGAAAAAATTACAAGGAAAGCTGTTGACAGAAAAGAAATAAAGGTTATTATTCAATACTCGCACCAGATTGCTTGTCTTGTCCAAGGTCATCAAAGCCACTGAATACCTCTGAGATACCGTGGCCAGCAAGAAACATCATGAATGCATCTGGCACAAACTGATCGGCAGTTAGCCTTGGATTACAAGGCAGCCTCTTCAGGCACAGACAATAGATTGAAAACGGAATCTTATCCAAGAGCCAAGACAACTCAACAAAAAAGAGTGACACATAAATTTAAAAAATGCAAGCAAGTTTAAAGAATTCCAGACCTGGGACGAGGGCTTCTAATCTCTCTGGCTACATACTCTTCAAAGGCAAGCTAGAGAGCATGCACAGTAAAAAACAAACATTCTGCCAGAAGGATGGAGCTATTTTGTGATTGATGAAAGCTCTCTAATGCTATAGCTGTAAAAGTTTTGCTTACTTGAAATTTTTCTTTCTGATGCACCACATTTGGGGACACCTGGTCTCATAATCTTTAAGCTCTTTCTCATTGACTATTCACAGTACTTCAACAAGGAATATATATATCATGAAATGTACAAACAGTAAGAATATGAGAATTGCTTTGAGCTGTATTTTTGTTGTTGTCAATCAAAAGGATTCAAGTGCTTATAATCTTTGCGTGCATTAGTAATCTCATGGCCAGGTTCTCTAGTGATCGAATCACAGAGACCCAAAATGTTAGCATTAGGATGAAATAACTTAGAAGAAATTTTTTAAGCACCCTTATTCAACTGACGAGAAAAACAATTTTTTCAGAAGTTCCAATGGCTAGTCCAATAAATCATAGTGTTTAGTAGATAGACTTGAGATCAATGAGAGGGCTGACTCCTTGTCCAGGTCTCCCGCCCAGTGGTAGTAAATCATGGACTAGAGATGACCTCTTGATCAGAATAGAAACGAGTCATCTCCAAGTACTGCAACAGACTTGGAATATATACTGATTAACTGGAAGAGTAATTTGATAGCACTGTTTATCTCTGTTTTCTCCCAAAGCCTTAAACCAATCTCTTGAGCTGAATTCCACAGTGAATACATCTTGGGACTTTTGTACCATCTACACATGGTACACTAGAGGGGTGAAGTTCAGTTCTAATGAATTCTACAGAACTTCACGTGAGGCTGAAGTTCAGGCAGCTGAGGGTCTTCCAGTCTCTGTAATTATATGAAACTGCTCAGAAATCTGGTTAAGATTCTATTTGTGCCTCTGATTTCTACATGAAGATAGAAATAACAGGTTCAGAAGGATTGAATTTTCACCAGCTGACTTACAGGGAGAAAAGAAGATTCAAACTCCAGACACATTTACTCTTACTATTTTCAAAAAAGTCTCTGTGTGGGAAGATATCCAAGTTCAGATTTAGTGCTACTTATAATTGTAAACTGTTTTAGATGCAGCAGAGTCGCATTCTAGGTTAAAAAAGACAATGCCTATGAGTTGGAAATGACTTCTAGCTCATCTTCTAGTGGGTTTCTGGAGGATGTCAACTGCATGGGAGGAGACTCTGCTGGTGGATTTGAACAGCCAACGAGACTGCTGCTTTTGGTGTAACCCTTTTTAGACCACACCATCAGAGCGTCTGGCATTATAGGTGACAAGATAATAATGAAATAATTTTTGTTTTCTATTGCGATGGGAAAGTCTGCTATTAATGACCTCTCTAAAGCACTCAAGAGCAACGGTGTCTCTCTGGAGACTAAGGTGCGCCCGATACAGGCCATGGTCTTTGCAATCACTTGTTATGCATCAGAGAGTTGGACAATGACTAGGGAAGACAGAAGGAGAATTGATGCCTTTGAGCTGTGGTGCTGGAGAAGAGTATTGAATGTACCATGGACTGCCAAGAAAACAAACAGATTCATCCTGGAGAGGGTTAAACCAAGCTACTCCTTGGAGGCAAGGATTCTGGGGCTTCATCTGACATACTGTGGGCATGTTGCAAGGAGGGACAGATCCTTGGAGAGGGACATCATGCTTGAGAGGGTGGAGGGATGGCGCAAGAGGGGAAGACCCTCTATGAGATGGACTGACTCAGTGACTGGGGTAATCGGGGTGGGTTTGTCAGAGGCAATGCAATTGGCACAGGATAGAGCAGGGTTTAGGGCTGTTGTACATAGGGTCGCTATGAGTCACAAACGACTCAACGGCTCATAACAACAACAACACTGACAACTCAGTGGTGCTGGAGAAGAGTGTTGAATATGCCATGGACTTCCAGGAGAACAAACAGGTTCATCCTAGAGAGGGAGAAGCCAGGCTGCTCCTTGGAGGCAAGGCTTCTGAGGCTTTGTCTCACATACTTTGGGCATACTGTAAGAAGAGACCAGTTTTTGGAGAAGGACATCATGCTTGGAAGGGTGGAGGGATGAAGAAAGGGAGACCATCGATGAGATGGATGTGATACAGTGACTGGGGTAATAAGAATATGTGTGTCAGAGACAGTAAAGATGGCACAGGACAGAGGAGGTTTCAGGGCTGTTGTTTGAGAGCACATAACAACAACACTGACAAGTGTTAATGTGGGTATTTCTGGAGATGTACTGAGGAAAAAAATTACAAAGATTTTTTTCCACCTTGTTTTAAATCTTACCAAATTTGAAACTGGAAATATAACAATAGATTATTATGCATTTATCTTCTTGGACCAGTATCTTATATTAGATGAGGAAAAATAGTTTGTTAGGCATAAGGTTAACAACAAAACAAAATTTAATACAATCTAGCTTGGGTTAGTTCACTTGGTGTTGGTAGCCCTGGGAGCACACTGGACAGTCTACTACGAGGCGGTTGTGACAAGACAGCTGGAGTGCGGGTCAAATTTATTGCTGACTTTGGGATACCACTTGCTTCGAGTGGAAGGAACTGCATGCATATTGAAGATAGTCTACCAAAGTAACTAACAAAATACTGCCTTTAGTATAGGAGAAAAAAATATTTGCAGATAATGTAAGCAGAGGGCTTCAACTGCCTGTAAAATCAATTCTAAAACACATAACCTAGTGAAGAACTCAGGCAAAGTGCCCAGATGGAAGATAAATAAGAAACAGCCAGTACACTGGTTCAAAGAGCTCACTGCTATTAAAATGGACTATACTCACAGCTGACCCTCCAGTGAGTGGGAGGCTGTAAACCTCATGGAGGGGACTGTCCAGCTTGCTCCTGTGCGACTCACTACCCTTGGTTTTGCTGCCTAACCCCCTAATAGAACTCCCTAATACACGTGTTGCTATTATGTACTGTGAAATTGAGTAAGACTCACAGCAACCAGGCAAATGAACAATCTAGATCCTGTCCTATCCTCATTATATCAAACATAATCAAGTCATTCAGCAGTCACTGTGTCAACCCATCTGGGGGAGGGTCTTCCTGTTTTTTGCTGACACTCCACAATTCCAAACATGATGTCCCTCTCTTAAGGAATAGCCTACCTAGTATGTTGTTGTTGTTGTTGTTATGTGCTGTCGAGTTGCTTGCGACTCATAGCGACCCTATGTACAACAGCCCTAAACTCTCCTTTGTCCTGTGCCAAACGCACTGTCTCTGACACTCTCATCCCAATTACCCCAGTCACTGAATCAATCCACCTCGTAGAGAGTCTTCCCCTCCTGCACTGTCCCTCCACCCTCCCTAGCATGATGTCCTTCTCCAAGGACTGG